GAACCGCCTGGCGACACGGGAGGTCGGCCGCCTGCCCCCTCCCCTCCATGGGAAGCACGAGGCTCCGCGTCCTTTCAGCCCGAGCTGCAGCTATCATGGCCCCCGGCCGCTGCGCGGCCCGGTGCCAGGTACTCCACGGCCCGGCACCGGTCCGCGGACCGGGGGTTGGGGACCACTGCCCTAAACCATGATTTGATTGGAACGAAGAGATTCCGTCACATCATATATCATGTTAAACTAGAGTTTACAAACTACAAATTAAAGGTAGTCTTTTTGACCTACAACTTTGTTTAGTGACTGTTCTAGGTCACAATGATACTAGAAAAAAGTGACTTATGACCGGTTCCTCACACCTATGATGTTTATAGCATTCCCCAGAGTCATGTGATCAAAATTTGGCTGCTTAGCAACCAGATATATTTTTTATGACAGCTGCAGGGTCCCCGGGTTATGTGATTGTCATTTGTGGTCTTCCCAGCTGGCTTCCAATGAGCAAAGACAATGAGGGAAGCCAGATTTGCTTAACGACCAAGTGACGCACTTAACAACTGCAGTGATTCCCTTAACAACCGTGGGAAGAAAGATCATACAATTGGACATGACTCACTTAACACCTTGATTAGCAATGGAAATTCTGGTCGCCGTTGTAGTCATATAATTCAAGGACGATCTGCATATTATATTTAGTGCAATGCAATAAACCACTTTTCTGCTTGACTGTTGTGCTGTGTTTATACTTCATAGAGGCTTGGTGGCATCTTAGCAGAAAAATGGTTTAAATGTAAGAGAAAAGCAGCTCTGGACTTTGTTCCTTCTAGTGACTGATTGCAGAGGAATAATTAACAGCCTCTTTTATGGGAAGGTCCTTGGATTCAGAAAATGGTTAACCCATAGTATTTCCATGAAACAGACTTGGGATCTTTCCTCCTGCAGTAAAATCCAGAGGTTTTTCCTAGGATGGGAAAAGCGGGTAGAATCGGAGGCAACCAGAAAAAAAAGATGACGATTTGGAAGAAAGCGATTTCCACGAAATCTCCAGACTCCTCAAATTGATCTGCATCTCCAACTATATAAAAAGATTCTAGGTTTGCAGAAAAAGATCTGAACTCGAAATTTGTATTTGTATTTATTTGTCTTGTATGCCGCCCACTCCCGAAGGACTCCGGG